AGTTGGTTAAACCAGTAGGCAAAGTACAAAGCCGTAAAGCTTTCTACTTCTATATTGTCCTCAAGAGGTACATGTAAAAAATTCAAAACACACAACAAATTCCACCAGTGGACTTTTCTTCATGTTCAATGAAACTACAAGACAGTCAGTTTATTTAAAACAGTCACAGCTTTCTGCTCAGCCTTTGTAAACCCTTACATCCCAGTCTTTCAACTAATCTAGGGCCCTAGCTGTTGTGGGTTAGTCCCAGTAGGCAGCTAAACACCACACAGCTGCTCTGCTCCCTCCGTCCCCTGCAGTGGGATGACTGAGAGAATCAGAAAAGTGAGGAAAGTCGTAGGCTGATATAAAACCAGGTGAATAGGTAAAGCAAAAACTATGCATGCAAGCAAAGCAAAATAGGGAATGCATTCACTGTTTCCCATTGGCAGGCAGATGTTCAGCCATTTCCAGGAAAACATGGTTTCATCACATGTAATATTAACTTGGGAAGACAAATTTGGTAACCACAGGTGTGCTGCCTTCCTTCCTTGCAGCTTTTATTGCAGAGCACAACATCATACAGTAAGGCCTATCCCTTGGATTAGCTGTCCCAGATGCATTACAGGAAAATGATTTTTCCATGATCTCTTGTGGAACTCAGAAGACTCTAGTACTATACTACACTCTATTTAAGATATTGTACGCCTTCCATTTTACATTTTAGCTGCATCCCTACTGACCTCTTTTGAGATGAAACCAACATAAACAACTGAAATGACAAAACATCTGTAATCCATATATGACCCCACACATGTAAAAGTGCTGCTGAACAGAAAAAGAGGCATCATCTTATTTGTAAATCTGACTTTCAGAGAGTTGCACCAAAATAAATAGCAATCTCTTGAAATTTAAAAAACACCAGCATACCTTTAACACCAAGACTTCCATGTTTCTCAGCTAGAGTCCTCCTCAACACCGCTGTAAAAGAACAACAAATGTTTGATTAACTATTTTTAAAGCCATAATTTGTTTTGAAGCATATCTAAAGAGTGTACACTAAAGGAAGCCTATAGGTTTTTTTGATACTTGTCTCAGGGGTATTAGTCTAGGCAACTGATTCACACATATCAAAGGGTTCAAACCAGCCTTCTCAATGAGATACTATGTTAAAGCCTGATTAAGATTTGCCATCCATGCATATTTACATACAATCACATCAGTTTTTAGTACACCAAAACACACCTGTTATCCTCCACCTACTTACAGTATATAGCTGTTTATCTTACATTCAGAAGCCAACAAAAATAGGTTTAAGACAAGCGCTGCTACAATCTATCTACGTGACCCCAATGGACAGAACACCAGAGGGAAATACTTACATCATTAAAACAAACCAAACAACACAAAAAAAAAATAGTCCCAACCTTAGCAAATAATTTTAAAGTAACAGAGATTTTTATTGGTATTTCACATTACATTAATATGCAATGGTACCTATCATACCCAGGAATTACAATGGAATAATAAATTACCTAGACTGAAGTAAGTTGCATGCCATTTTGGTACAAACCAGCACATCACAGTATCTTTACAACAGTGTCTAGCTTACCACTTACAAGAATTCACACTGGAAGTAGGTGCCTTTTGGGAGTGGAAAGTCAGGACACTGGCCTTTCAATTCTAAAGCTAGTTTTGAACAAGTCAGCACTAAAAAAGTAATACAGCTACACTGTGGTTGTACCTAACAACATGCTTTGCTAGGAGATAGTACTAATTATTCCCAGTTTGATACTGCAGTGAAACAGCTGAAAATATTTTAGAAGCTTTACTTAGTATCATATGATACAAGCATACCATCCACATTACACATGTTCTTAACGCCACGCTATACTATGACATACTGCTTCCTTACACACTTTAAAAATATACACCTTTATGTAGAGAATAACATGTGAGAAGCATAAATAACCTCTCATAATCTCCGAGTTTGACAAGTGCAAACCCAATAAATCACATATCAAAGTATCAAGGATAAAGCACACCTACCTAAAAAGGCTAGTTCTCTTGATACATTACTAGTAACAACACAGCTAGTTATTAGGAACTAAATAAGAACACAAATGTTTGCTCAAACCCCATACTTAACACTAAGGATATTTACCTTGTGAAGATGCAATTGGTCACTAAATAGCCCCCCTCCCCCCCAAACTGCTACCTTAATAAAAACTTAACAGGAGAAAATAAAAGCATGCCTGTCCAACAACACAAGTCCGATACAAACGTTCCTACAAAAAAACAACAAACTTGCTATCCCAACCTCCCCCAGGAGTGGAAATGCATCCAGCTGCTCACTCCTTCCCCCCTCCCCCAATAGGATATGGGAGAAAAATCAAAGGAATAATTAAAATTCATGGGTTGAGATGAAGACAGTTTAATACAGCAGAAAATGAAGGGAAAATAATAAAAGAATAAGCAAAACAAGTGATGCACAACTGCTCACCACCAGCTTGCTAATGCCCATCCAATCCCCAAACCACAACGCACCCCGCCCCATTATCATCTAAAAAGTTAGATAAACCAAACAATAGGTAAAATGCAAAGATACTAAGTTTTTAACTTCTGTATTATCAAGAAGCACATATAAAAAGCCTAAACCACACAACAAACCCCACCGATTTTTCCTCATACCCAGATAGCCTACAAGAAAAAACAAGCCCCTTAAAAGGTGAGAGACTACTAAAAAACTACTCTTTCTTACTTTATTCCCTCCCTCACCCCAATTTCCTTCATATCCCACCTTAGTTTCACACTCTTTTTCATTAAAATACACCCACTAACTTCAGTCACCAACACTATCAGAAGCACCTTAACACAACCCTACCCACACTCCCCACCGCTCACCTTAGAAGCTTCCAGAAGCGGTCAGTCCTCCCGCTCCCGCACTCAGCCCCCCGCCACCCGCGCGCAGGCCGCAGGACGCGATGGGGCGGCGCCCGCGCGCTCGGCGCTCCGCACGTGTCGGTACGGCGCGGAGGGAGGTTAGACAACCGTAACGGCGCACTCTCGACTCTTTAAGTGTATTGTTGTGGTAAATGAGCCTTAAGTGAGAGTCTTGTCTTTCTACTGCTCTTGCCCCAGGCCGGGGGGGGCGGGGATGGCAGGGCAGCGCTGGTGGTGCCTCAGGCTGAGGGGGCTGCTCCGTGGCGGGGGCTTCCCGCGGCAGAGTCCCATCCTGCGTTATGAAGCGGTGACAGCCAGGGATGCTATGGCTCGTGTTTTTCCCACAGGCTGTGGAGTGTATTCTTGAAAGATGTGTAAAATTAGGTGGCTAGGGAGAAGGAGCACTTGGTACTGCCCGACTGGCGTTCAGCTATGCTACTTAAACGTGTATCTGTATATTCACAATGGAAAACAGCTGTGGTAAAATGTGCCACGGTATTTAGTTCTTAAGGAAATCCTTCACTCTCGCATCTCAAGCTCTGTGATAAAGCATTTACTTTTTTATTTGTTTTTAAAATTGTTGTATGCTACCCTTTCCACCCTTTCCATTCAGGCTTTTTTTTTTTTTTTTTCTGAAAAAAAGGTGTATGAGATTTAGGCGTATCTGATTTAGTTTTGCACAAGGCTGCACAGACAAGATGCCAGCCCAAGAGAAAGGGATGAGACACACAGCTGGGAAGTAAAGCCAACCTTTTTGGGCAGAAACCCATACTTAAGAGCGGCTCAATATTTTGAAACTGCAGCTTTAGTAATATTTTTAATTTAATATTAAGAGGTACTTCCTGTATGTATATTCTAGGCCATTTATACTTGTATTTAATGACTGTCATAACTTTGCATGTAAAATAGTATATTTTTGTTATGTTTTTTGTTATTTTTTATTACTTTTTTTGTTCTTTGGCCTTCAAGCTCCCCCTACTGGACTATTTTGCTTTTGTTGGTGGGGAAAAACAAAGTTACAGGAGACAAAGATGGAGAGGCAGACTGTTCCCTTCAGATACGGATTTAGTATTGAAGTAACTGGTTTTGACACACAGCAAAAGTTGTATTAGCATTAAAAACATAATGTAGAGCAACACACAGGTGCGTAAAAGCTTCTGTAAGAATTTAACCTGTATCTAGGTTGCTGAATAATTTCTTTCCTAAAATTATTTTCTAATAGCTACTTTCAACCCCAAAAGTAAACATGTAGAACAACCGTAAGGTACCAAACAATAAAAAAAATCACCAAGGAAGCTCTCCAGCAGCTATGAAAGACAATATTGCAAAATCAAAGCAGTTGTGGATGACCTAATCTCTTCAGTTTTTGTGTTTTCTTACATACACCATTTTGTATATTTGAATTCATGATCTTGAGAGCTGTGGGCTTCATGAAGAGAAAAGTGAAGACCCTGAATTTTAGGAGAGTGAACTTTTAGTTGTTTAAGGAACTAGTGGATGTCAGCCCCTGTGAAACTGCCCTTGGTGATAAAGGAGCAGGAGAGCTGACAGCTTTTTAAAGACATTTTTCTTAAAGTACAAAAGCTTGTGATTTCCATGTGATAGAAATTGGGCAAGGAAGGCAGGAGACCTGAGTAAAACCCTTCTGATCAAACTGAAATGCAAGAGAGAAATGCATAGGGACTAGAAGCAGGAATGTGTATCCGTAGGGAAGAAGATGGGGATGGTGCCTGGGGTGTATAAGACTGGTATCAGGAGCGCTAAGGCACAGCTGGAGATGATTTTGGCAAGGGATGTGAATAATAGAGGCTTCAACAGGTATGTTGGTCGGAAGAGAAAGACTTAAAAAAATATATACGTGTGTGTGTGTGCACGTGCACATGTCCCCGATAAATAATATGGGAGATTTAGGGGCGACCCCACATGGAGAAGGCTGAAGTACTTGACAATTTTTTGCCTCAGTTTTCACTGGCAATCACTCTTCAGCAAGGTCTACAAAACCAAGAACAGTTTGAGCATGTTCAGAGAGAAAGACACAAGTTGTTTCCAATCCAAATAAATGCTACAAACCAACTCAATTTAAAGAAAATAGTGCAGAAGATTTTAATTGAAGTACAGAACAAAAGATGAAACGAAGCTTTCTGAACAATTTTACTGGCTCATCTCAAGTCATCATTCATCCTTCTTCAAGATCAAGAACAACTTACATCATTGCTCCATTTACTCCACTTATGGCACAAAAAGACAAAACCAAACAAATCCAAACCAAAACGTAAGAATCAATCCTTCCTCTGAAGTTCTTAAATCTCAGATAAAATTACTAAAGTAGTTGAGAAACGAAGTGTGGGATGTTGAAATAGGGAAGTGGGCATTTCCAAGGTAGTACTTTATTCCTTGCAGTTGGTATCTTTTTGGAGCTAAGCAATTTATTTTTCTATTTTTTAAATTGCTAACAACTTGTAGATAAAAATAACCATGAATAAAAAGAATGTTGAGAATGCACTCAATCTGATAGATGACTCAGTTTGTCTAATTTATCGCTAACTTTGAAAATGGAAAAGTTTTAAATAGATATTAATGGAAAGAATTTAGGTATATCAAATATAAACATTAACTTTATAATAATTTTTTATGAAAGTGAATTTTGGCTAGTAAATCTGTATATACACATATACACTGGTTTTCCCCAAAACAAAAGAGAGAATAGACTGGGAGAGGTCAGCAGACATAGAATGAGAGATTTCATTAATTCCTAGACAGCCATTACATTTGTCTAATTGATAACTTTGGGAAGAATAGTAAAAGAATTCTTCAACTGAAAACAGACTTGTTCTGAACATAACATATACTTACACTTGCAGTGAGAAAAGGACCTGTGTGACCCAACAGACCAGTGTTGCGGCGTATTCTGCAACTGGTATGTAAGTAGAATAAAGTGCTAATGGCTCAGTATAATTATCATCAAATTGAATTTAAATTAATCAATAACTAAACTGTTGATTATGCTGATTTTTCAGTAGCCTCTAAACATTGTAATTGACACAGCTGTGCTGTTGCAAAAACTCAGAAGAATTAGGTGCAGGTAAATCTCACACACACACAAAATGCTTTGGAAGGACAAAGGAGTATTTTCTTGACTATTTGTCAGCAGTTAGAAAGGACCAAAACTTCAGTGACTATGGGTGTAATTAAAAATATTCTAGCTTTAAACCAAACAGAATTTATAATCTGCTATTGTAACCTGTACAATCAGAATTTATCATCAATGGATTCTTATGTTTATATTTTGGTTGAATATTAACATAGACAGCAAGATTGTTGATATTTTTTATTACTACCCTGTGAAATACACTACCCTCTTTCATGATATCTTCAACCTTCTTATCTGTTGACATGATTATTTTCTTTTCTCCTGTATAATCTGGATCTTCTGGATACAACTCATCTCCTGGGGGCAGAAAAATGTTTTAGTTATACAGTGCCTACCTTATTTTGCAGCCTTTTGATTGAGTAACACTAGCAATTTTTTTTATATTTATCAGGACATGAAACTCAGTGGGAACGTTTTCCACAATAGAAAAGTAAATTGCCTCTAAACATCTTCAGATTTAAAGATACGGCCAAAAAGTGATGAAGTATCTGTCAGTGACATGGCAGTTCACATTTGAGGTATTGATTTGATTGTTCCCATGTTTCTGATGGTACTAATATGCTATAATCACAGCTTGGTCGCAGAGCAGTTTATATAATAGGTGGAGAACAAAAAATACTTTTCCAAATGTATAAATATAGGCTACAGTAGGACTAAGAATAGAAACTGCTATTTTGTTCTGTTTTATTGAAGAAAACAGTGTTTTTCCATATAAATGCACATTACTCTTGTGCAAGAGTGCTAATATACCCCAAATACAGAAATTCTAGAGGTCAGTTGTGACAAAAAAAGGAGAAAGCATAATGAAAAGTCAAGCAAAGAATCAGAAGATAATAAATAGTACGTGCAGGTTTTTTTAAAGAAGGCAAAAATGCATGTGATTATGAAATGAGAGACTTAGGAGAAAGTGCAGGAAGCAATTACATTAGTGTGTCTTTTTAGATCACTGCCCTGTCACTACATTTGTGAAGACTAATCCTGCAGCTGTGCTTGATCCACTTGTCCTTTCAAAGACAGTTAACTGAAGTAAATGACAATTCCCACTGAAAAGGACTAAATAGGAGTTCTAATACAGGCTTCACATTAAAAAAAAAGTTGAAATGCTAGAATTTTTTCATGAATAAACATGTTAATGGCAACCATATGAGATTATAAGTACAAAAAGAACTATGCTGTCTGATTCAGTATCTTGTCTCTGACAATAACCATTATCAGCTGTCCCAAAGAATGAAGTCGAACAGTAGAAAAAGCATGCAGTAACTCGACTTAAAAGAATATTTTCCTTAGTTATAGGTGGTTTCTGTCATGTGGCTTGAGTACATGGCAATTCCCAAGCTTTTATATATTGAAAAGAACCTTCATCTGTTTTCTTACCTGGTAGTAGCTGAATATAGCCATCTGAAGCAGTTAACATCACAGGCATCCATCGTTCACATCCCTCTAGAGCTCGATCAGAGCTGAACTTGTGTAACTCATGGAGTGAAGAGAAGTTGCACAGCCTACATAATTCATAGAACTGAGGTGGAGCAAACCATATTTCTTGAGATTTAAAGCGTTCAATGGCTTCTGGAGGTGATGACCACTGTAAGATGAAAACAAACCTTGAAATAATGGTTTTATCAGCAGCTAGAAAGTATCAGTAACTTTAAAAGCCATTAGCAAGAAAGTCTTCACAGGGGAAGAGCTTGCAACAGTCCACGTTTTCCCAACACAATCAAAACCATGTATAAATTATACCAAAACAACAAAAACAACAAATTTTTTTTTAAAATTAGAAAAGATAAGCAATCTACCAAAATTACTCTTTTTCCTATAAAATTAGGCATGCCAACATGGAGACATGCCACGTTTGGAAACAGACTTGTTTTAGGGGCCTGAGAAGTCTATTGAAACCAACAGAAAACCTTAAACTCAATGTAAGCTCAGTTACCAGAGGTTGCTACTGATGCTTCAAGAATTAAAAGTACCTCTAAACATCTGCTTTCTATACACATTGTTTTCAGAGCACAAGCACCCAGCTATTGATGCTTAAACACTGTTGTTCTGCATGTTTAAACTATCAGTAATCTTAATTTTATCTCACATGGTGAATTTGTGTGCATAAGCATTTTCAGTAGATCTGTGCTGTTATTAACAAAATTATAACAAACACTAAATCTTTTGAAGATAAGATTTCAGGCACTTTTAAGTTTCTCTAGCAAGATCTCTTCAAAAAATAAACAAAGAAACATCGGTAATATCAAAATTGTTAGGTAAACTTTTACAGAACTGTTTGGTTTGTCATCTACTTCTAACTTGCTTTCAGACTTTTCAGAATTATAGAAAAACTTAAGGACCCTAATGCACCTGACCCTGAGCTGTCTTTAAGAAGTTTCTTCATTAAGTTTTTTGCTCTTCACTCCAGTTTTAAAAAAAAAAAAAGGTAAAAAAAAAAATCAATGTAGCTCCAGAAATGGTTTTAATACTACACTATTTCAACAGATTTATATGTTACTTAAAATATTTCAAGTAACTATGAAAGACAAGAATTAATAGGAGCTCTGGCAGCCCCAGAACACACTGTACATACCACCTGGCTCTCTCCAAGCATCCTGAGTGGTAAGGGTATAACGACAAGACTGCACTGATACTGCAGGAATGAATGTGTAAAGATTGTACAGTAATTCAAGGTGACAATGATCCGATGTGACACACATCCTATGCCACAAAACACACCCTTCTGCCAGCAGTTACAGCTCCGCGCTTGCTAGAAGGGAGCAACAGCGGGTACCGGCCAGAAGGAGAGATGTACACAGGGGAGGATCACCGTGAAGACGAGAACTCCCTTCCCTTTTCACCCTTCTTAAGGGAGCGTTCCCAAGACGGCTAGAGTTAGACTTTTGTTCAGCTACCTAATCTGTACTGGCGGCGGGCTCGGGGTATCTCCGAGGCGGGGCGGCGGCGTGCGCGGGCAGCAGCGGGGCCCCCGGGGCCGACTCCTCCCGCGGCCGCGCCGCGTGGGGTCGGCGCGCTCTTACCAGGAGGGCTGTCACCTCTTGGTCGTCCTGCGAGGCGTGGGGCGGGCGCTCCTCCAGGCAGCACAGGTAGAACGCCGTGTCGTAGCGCCGCCCGCCGCGGCCGGCCCTGCCGACAGGCGTCAGCCAGTTGCTCCACTCTTGCAGCGCCCAGATATTGGGGACGCAGCCCAGGCGCCGGCACAGCTGCAGGAAGCAGCCCGGGTCCGCCTGCACCCGCCGCCGCCACTCGCTCAGCTCCGCCGCAGGGAGCAGCCGCTCCGGAGGCAGCGGAAGGGCCGGCCCGCCGCCCGGCACCGGCCCGCCGCCCGGCACCAGCAGCAGGACTGCCGCCTCCTCGAAAGTCTCCCTGATAGCGCAGATGCGGAAGGCGATTTCCCCCGGCAGCGGCGAGCCCAGCCGCTCCTGCTCGGCGGCGAAGAGCGGCGCCCGGCTGCTGCCGAGAGGCGGCGGCTTTACGAGGCCCAGCCCGCACTGAGGCGAGGCGGGCAGCAGCCCTAGCCACTCCGCGGAGAAATCCGCCGCCTCCACCAGCCCCCCCGGGAAGACGTGGGCGCTGGGCATGAAGCCGCTGCGGCTGCTCCGCTGCAGCAGCAGCAGCTCGTAGTCACAGGGGCCGAGCGGGGAGCGCGGCTGCCGCGCCGGCGAGCCCGCCGCCAGCAGCAGCGTGGCCGCCCCCCTCCAGTGCCGCAGCCGCGAGTTCATCTTGAGGCCCGCGGCAGCGAGGAGGTGGCGGCCGGGGCCGCGCCGCAGGGCCGGCCGGGCGCCACCGCCGCCTGGGCGCCCGGAGGAGCCACTGCAACCGCCGGCCGCGGGCGTGGAGGCCCGTCCGGAACGGTCGGGAGGGCCTCAGGCCCGATAAGCCTCAAGCCGATAAGCGGTGTCCTCAAAGGGCAAAAGCTTAAAGAAACACAGAGGGCTTACAGGCGTAGGGGTGAATGCCGAGAGAAATGAGGTGATGGCTGTTTCAGTTTACTCGAAAAACTGTGGCTTGAAGTAGTTTGCGCCTCCAGAGGTTTCACAGCACTGAGTGGATTTACAGCATAACAAGATGTAAATGTTGAATGGGCAAATATTGAATGAGCATCGGACCTCGAAGCCTTACCAAGTTCTGCTGAAGGGGTTGTAGTTGCAGCCTCAGGTATCAGCACAGGGTCAGGAACCAATGACTGGGATTTGTAACAATAATACTGCTGCTGACCCGCCAGCTGGCCTCAGAGAAATCTCCTTATCTCAATTCCACATCAAGGCACGTTGATAACAAAAATAATTTTAGGTCTTTAATTAAACATGTCGTGCTCCAAGTTGTTTGAATTTGTTTTAGTAGATTTCAAAGGGGAGGAGTATGTAGAATTTTAATTAATTTTTAGTACAGAGCTCTTCCATTTTGAGGCTTTTAAGTACCTTGTTACCTGAAAAAAAAAAAAATATTCAGGCAAGATAGCAAAACCCTGAAAAAGTCTGTTGTGCACACACTTCAGGAAACATTTTATTTTGTTAATTTAACATTTGGTTTTGATTCCTCAATCTAATCATAGATTTGTTTTTTTTTTGAATTTGTAAGGAGTTCAAGCAGAAGAAAGCTGATGACACAGGTTGAGAAATTTTGTAAGAATATTATTTGCATGTAACATGGAGAATCCTCCTCCTATTCATAAACCTCTTGCTAGATTCCATTTGGCAAATACCCACATACCTGCACATGCCTCTGACAACTTCTCCATTTTATTTTCTCTTTGAGCACGTACTTAATGCCTGTGAGATGTGGCTAATTTTAACTGAAATTATGTTTAGAGGCAATTAAACCAGTGGGATGCTGGAATATGTCAATTGACAAAACTAAAAATTCAGTCATGGTCTACACAGACATAGCTGGGCTGTAAGTTCATCGTGGTGCTAGGCTGCAGTCAGCAGAATAGGTCAGCCAGGCAGCTGATGGTACTAAAATGGGCAGAACACCAGCTGTGGTATAGCTAGACAATCTACAAGTCTGCCCTCCTCCTCCTTTCCTTCCTCATGACCAAATATACACACAAAAACAGGCATCTGGTGACTCTAGCCTCCTTTTTCATACTAATTTAATCATTATTGCTCATCAGTGATTACCATCTTAGGCACTGGAAGAATAAGGTCCCCTAATGTTCCTGTTTTGTAGTAGAAGGCATTTTGAACCTAAAATCATGATGTTCACCTTGTATTTGTTTGCCTTTTGCACTCAGTATAGTTACCTATTTTATTGTGTTAAGTATACATCCTTGTAGGAATGTGCTTTGCCAAAAGCTGCTTTGCTGGTGAAATAATAATAAACTATTGAGGTTTTTCAAGATTTAACATCCAATGAGCTTGCTGGCTGATCAAAAAGATTTGGGGTCCATTATGTCAGATCATTTCAGCATAAAGGTATTTTAAGTAGAAAATACTCATGTACCAATAACCAACAGCATAATTTTCAAGTCAATTGTAATACCAGTACATACAGAAAACTGTCTTACTATGGCAAAAATGCAGTGTCTGATATCCTTGGAATGTTACTTCAGAACACTTTTAGGAAAATCTGGTAATAGGAATTAGTGCAGGTTACATTGTTATCTTAAGTTTCTAAATGGAATGTTTTAATTTATTTTTCTTTTTACCTAGTGCAGTCTAAAGTCTCACAAGGACTAGTATGTAAAGCAAGAATATCCTGCAAAACAATTCCTCTGGTTTCACTGGTATCCACTGGTATTAAATTTAGTGGATCTAATTTCATAGGCATTCTTGGATAGGGAGTAGAAATTGAATGTGTGGCTAGCATATTTGCTGCTGTTTGCAACCTCAAACACATACAGACTGTCAGTAGAGTTGTGTGGATGTAGCATTGTTCATGACTGTTCTCATCATCTGAAGCAGTCCTTTGGGACCAAAGACAGCCAACTGCAAGTTAAGGCAAACATTATTCTCTACTCCAGTTGCTGCATTTTTTCACACAGTCTTGGGATATGTAAGGCACCTCCTCCCCCTAAAAAGGATGACATTCTGTACCCAATGGTAAGGATATTCACCCTATTGATGGCAATATTTAAACTTCCTTCCAATGTTGTCTTACAAAGAGTAGTTCAATATCCATTCATGACAAAGCAGAAGTCATCTCATGCGAAATTCCAGGAGCATATGAGCACGAGTCTTCAATTGACCCAGTTATCAGGACTGGAGGTGGCAGGAGGTTCTAGGGATGAACATGAAGAGGGTCCCAATACGGAGAGTGGCCCGAGTAACAACAATCACCCTGATGCGGCTACATGTCGTTCCCCTTTATTGCCCGAATCGCTTGGTTATATACTTTGCAAAGCAAGCACCCACTGTTCACGCGCCCCATACCCCTTGATTATTGGTCATAAGCAACTTATCACGCACCCAAAGGGAAACTGTGATAGGCAAGCATCTTGCGGTTTGCTGCATACTTGTGCTTAGCTTAGCCAGATACATAGCTGAGAAAATTCCTCATTAACAGATACAGTTCCTCACAACACAGCCCTTCAAGGTCATCCTCATAACACAGGTGTTGTTAGCAGTCTGATCTCAGGCCTGGATTGTCCAAACTTTGCAACAAAATATCGTGGCCATTCTCTGTCAGAAATTCTACTACATGAACACTCCTAAACTGAGTGCTTCTGACACTCAGAAACTCTGTAAGCAAAGATCACGGGCGCAAAAGGATGTTTTACCCCCTTCCAGTTGCCTACTAAGGAAGGCAAAAGCTAAGTGCTGAATGTGCATGTATCTGCTCTCTCGGAGCTATAGCTAACTTGCTGGAGATAGCTCAGATGATTATAGAAAATGTCTTAAAGCCAAACTAGATGCAAGGTTATCTATAAAGCATGTTTAATTTCTTCATTTCTGACTTAGATGATTTCTTTCTTCAATATAGTCTGCTAAAATACAGAGCTCATCTTACTTGTACTTAAAATTTGTATAGGGTTATGAATGATTTTAGAAAGAATGGAAAATCTGAGAAAATCTGTTACTCAGGATTACCAAACCTAAACCAAGCATACTTAGTTTATTCCATTTCTGCAGTGTAAGCGTCCCAGGATAAGGGCATTCTGCATTCAGCTGGGCTCCAGTGTTGTGCTTCAAGGGCCGGTATGTAGTCTGGGAATAGAGGAGGCTTCAGTTTGGAGAAAAGTCTCCCCATAGCAAGAATTAGCTAGAGATATGTGTGACACTCAGTAAGACATAAGAGAGAAGGCAGAAAGTCGGAGGTCCCCTCCAGATTTAAAACAAAATATTTTTGCTAAAAATTTAAGAATTTGACGGCCTTTCATGCTTCTTGTACGCCAGAACAATCAATTGTTGACTTAATGGACCCCAAATTCCTCTGAATTTCAGGTTGTTTTCAAAAACAGGTTGTGCTGTATTGAAAAATAAATCGTTCTGAAGCGATGCAAAAAGTTACAAAAAATGAAACACTGCAAGATTATTGAACTAATAATTCTGTGTGGGATCATATTTCAGCAATGTGGAGGTTACTTCACCATTTTTCTGTACACTTCAGTTACTGCTTATGGGAAAAAGAAAACTGTTTAAAGAAAAAAGATTGAGGTCACTAAATACACAGAAATTATTGTCAGATTAGCTTTTTGTTTTATTTTTTTGTGATTGGAATACTTAGCAACAGAACAACTTCATTCCTTTTTGTTGCATCATTGCATAAATTATTTTGCACATACAGATCAGTGCAGATCACATCACTGTAATAATTAATTTCAGATGAAAAACAAGGTCTGCCATTATTTCACAATTTAATTTGGCTTACATGCCATCCTGTCAGTTGGAGATGATTATACTAAGTCAGTTCTTGGTTTAATTTATATGCATCTGGTAAAAGCTTTGTCCCCATGCAGATGTAGTGTCTACTATATTGAACAAACCTCAGGTCAAAAAATTAAGAGATTTCACTGAGCATGTCTACTACTTCTTAAACTGGCTTATTTCAAAGTGACATTCTAAAGCTTGTAGATTGTTTAGCTCATATAATGTCAATGAATAGGCAGACTTAGCAAATAATGTAAAAAGTAGATATATTATTCACTGTTTAGTTTTCCAAGTATTGTGTCCAAAATATGAATAAATGTCAAATCTAGGAAATGCAGGTTTATAATTTCAGCACCATTATATAGATTGGCTAAATAATTAAAAAATATAACTACCTTCATACAAAACAATATTCCAACAAATCAAAGCAGATCAGAAAACTAGGTTACAGATAGTATTAACAACTGGAAATGTTCTACTTCCAACAGACGCATAATGGATTACATGTCTTATGCAAACTGAAATGATGGTTCTAATTCTGCAGCTTTTAATTACATGAATAGTCTTCACCCATGTAATTTCTCACTAACCTGAGTAGTGCTGGCTTATATGAGTAATGATTCAGACCACTCCCTCTAGGACCCAGAACTCAAATGTGTATTTATATATAAAGTTACACATGCAATTAGCATATTAGATTAAGTTGCTAAGAGAGTATCATGTTTGGTGTGTCAGGTACTCCTCAGTCATTGTATATGTTATAAATAGTTAAATATTTTCTTTTGTCTTCTTTTCTCATTTCTGCCTTTCTCACTTGTTTTTCCCCCCCATGATTTATGCTATTTATATATACATTCTTCAAGATCATTCAAAGGAATTGCATCTGAACTTTTTAAATATTTTTTTTTTCCCTCAATACAACTACACATGGCTGTATGACCCAGCATTTACTGTTCTTACAAAAACCCCGTGATTTTTGAAGGCAATGTAATTCCTTAATGCTGTGACACATCAATGAATTCAACTGTATACGTTCTTTGAACATCTGTGTGCAAGAGACAGACTTGACTGATCACAGACTTCAGTGATTATTTTAATGCATCATGGAGAACTGACCAAAATAACAGACCACACAGTTGTACTATGATTGTGACTTCCATTTCTGTGCACTTAAATTAGAACTAGCTTTTAGAGGATTTGTTAGTTTAATTTGGTGGAGATGCTATTAGAATCTGATAAATAATGTCATGTAATACAGTGTAAAAAAAAGAAAACATACAGTTCTCTGGAGACATTTTACATCAATGAAGGCCATGATGCTCTTGAAGGCTTTTGAATAACAGAAAAATAAGGGCTTTGAATAACAGAAAAATAAGGTCACAACAGACCTTGAAGGTTTGTGAATAACAGAAAAATAGGGCTTCTGAATAACAGAAAAATAAGGTAACAGCAGACCTTGAAGGTTTTGGAATAACAGAAAAATAAGAATGTTATCAGTGAACAACAGAAGACTTTGGAAGAACACCCGGAGCAAAAAAGTTACTGTGACAAAGGAAAAAAAAGACATGTGTAGTTAAGCTAGCCAATCAAATGTTAGAATAGGTGTGTGAGTAATGTATCTTAACCAATAAGCACTTGTGTTGGGGGGATTGACAACTCTGTAGGGGGATAAAAATGCAGCTTTCTGAATAATAAAGGGTCTTCAATCTTAACATCAGAGTCCGTGTCATCAGTCTCCTCACAGTTCAAACAAACAGGACAAAACAACAAAACCCACCTGACCCTGTGGAGGCTTAAGTCAAATTATGACACTTAGGAAAACCACAGTAGAAATTCTGACAAAATTACGGGAACTAAGCAAGAAATGTAATTGCATTTGCTAACTAGCCTCTGGAGGTGACAGATTTTCAAAGATGCTGTAATTTTATTTGTATTTGCCTACATGGCTTCTTGCCACATCGCTTCCAGCAGGACATGCTTGTGGCTTGGCTGTATGAGAAGATGCAGAAGAGGCTTCAGGCTGGTTAAATGCCATGTGACACTTCACCTTTCCACAAGTTTAATCAGTGGCAGCTGATTAAGCTACATTTCCAACTGCATCAGAGTATTGCAGCAGCAAGCTGTCAGGATGGATGACAGAATCCAGCCTTCTGGGACCGCCTGCTTCCAATAGAAAGTCTTTCGTAGTGTGAAGCAGAGAGAGAGAGAAAGGTTGTCTCTTGTAAAATTGGTATCAATGTAGCGAATCAAAGTATTTTTATTCTTACGCTGTATTGAGTTAATCAAAGAATGGATAGTCAGTTCCACTCGGGGAAATTTTATATTCTTTGTTCCACTGCATATAAGATACTGCCTTCTTATAGAGAAGCTATAGTTTAACCTGTGATGCTATTACATTGTATTTAACAAAAAGCATACTTTGCTAACATAAGATGAAGACATATTTACTACATACATCCATCTCCTTGCTCTTCTTGTCCTTCCCTCAATGAATGCAGGTAATTTTATAGGAAAGACCTTTCTAAGCCCACTTCCATTGTATGCTTACCACAGCAAATGCTGCTCACGTGTAGACTACTATTTTGTCCAGATCTCTTCCTGCATTAAAAGACTTACATAATCGTATTGAGAGAAAGCACTTAGAGATCTGTAATCCACTGGTCTTACTGAATGACTTTTTACATAATGAAAATCTGTGAAGGGTAAATATGTTGACTAGGAGTTCTGTTAGCACTTAAACACAAGGTATTTCTGGAAAATGTACATAACACAAACCTTGTAAGAAAAGCAAAAGAAAGCCCATAATGAATCATTTCAGACTACAGACAATAAGAACGTGTTTAATTTTTAATCCAAAAGGCAGTATCAGCCATTTAGTCCACTTTAAAATAATTGCATTAATATAAAAAGTACTTTTGTATTACATGAAGAATTTTGAAAGTAATTTTATTCATAACGCTGATGTTTGATGTTACATTGTTTGCAGCATAAGGAGAATCACTTTAATTACAGTTCTGTGTTCATTTTGTTAGTAAACTAAAAAACAGTATTGAGGGCCTTTATAGTGATGGGCTGGAAGTCCTGGAATAAAATCACAAATTGCTGCATTTAACAGACTTGGTTCTGATAGTTTGATGCAGTTGTTGATCATTGTTGCTATCAATACCATAGGATCAAATTTTGCACTCTGTAGGTTGTGTGTATCTTCTGCTAAAGTAAATGCAAGCTTGGCTGAAAGGGGACAGAGTTTGGATCCTAACACAATGAGGATCTAGTACATACATTAATCTAGTCTAATACGTTCTCTAGTTTTCAGTCGGTCCAGCCAATGGTTCTGTACTTCACGCAACAACACTGAACAAGGAGTGCTGAAGGCAACATCAGTCCTGTTACACTAAATGTTATTGTAGCTGTTTCCTAAGGCAGAGATTTCTTGAGTTTTCAGACACCTGATTCCCTTGCAGCATAAATTAAGAAGTATCCCTATATTTAAGTTTGGACACTTGAGAAGGGTGCATTTGTGTAAAGAAAACTGTAATGAGAGGGTTTAGTACGTTGCTTTTATTCTTGTGGTTGAAATAGGAACTTTTTGTTTGGAAGGACTTACTGACAAGCTGTATTCCTATTCCAGTTTTTCTTTGAATTAATGCTGCAAGCCAACCTATACATTATAAGAATGTACTTTATTTTAAGTTAAATAAATAGTGACAGTAGCAAGTTTGAATTATTCAAAGTGTAGAAAATACCACCCATGCACAGGTAAAACCAGTATAATTTAAGTCAGGAATAAGATTTTAGTATACAGCAAATTTGTGTATCCTGTGAATAAAGACAAAAGAACTGAAGTAGAACAACACTGAAATTAAGCAATGGCCATCTTCTTTTGTACTGAAAACATGTTAACATTCTCATTCACTAATCAGCATGAGAGTGTTTGCATTTTCATCATGCTATTTAAATATAGAATATTTTGAAGTCTGACTTCCCATCTTTCACTTACAAAAATATCATTTCCAGTCTCCCTCCAGTTGCATTCTAGTGGGGAAAAAAAATCAAGACTGCAAATCTACAACATCTCTTTATTTCTTGGTTTAAAAGAAGCATCAGTACTTTTGGGCGATGGTGGTTTCATGTGGTTTTGCTTTTGTGTACTGTTGTGCCTGAACTCTTGTCACATTGAGCGTACCCTTGTATCAAGTGTAGGAGATTAATGGCAGGAACATTATCCATTTAGATGGTGCCAATCCTCTGTTAGAATTCTACTTAATCTCCTAATTTCAGATACCTTAAATATAAAATGATACAGATTTTTAGTAACAAACTAATGATAAATTAATCTGCAGCCACGTTTGTCTTCAGACTTGGAAATACATTATTTTTCCAAGGTCCAATCCTTCAAATTCTAATTGTGTGCAAGACATACATAATTATAGGCTACTTATATGAATTCTTTGAATCCTGTATCCAAAAATCCAAATTCCAAAAAATGCAGCGGACTGAAAATGTAAAATTTACTAAGTCACTGAAGCTTACTTTTGAAGATGAGATTACGTATTCTTAAAAATTCTTCTACACAACTAACTGTGGATAAACAGTATACCCACTTCAGGATACCAAGGTACAAGATAATGAATGGTGTAGGTGTTACCACTTACTTATCCACCAGAAGCCATGCTTGCATTACTTAGGTTTTCAGAACATGGTTAAAAAATCTGATCTCAAAAGGAACGTGATGTTTTCCAGAAGCACTGAATACAGTTCAACTTCTTATCCACCTGCCTGTGAACTAAGTAAAAGGAGAGTGCAAAGAGTTAAAATATCCACAAATCCTTAATGACTAGTGGTGGCAATCCAAATATGTACATTCTCCTGCAGTTTTTGCTGTATTTTCTGTAAAGATGTTTACTCAGTATGATTGTGAAGATCATCTCATTTAAATAAACACACAGCAATTACACCTTGTCTAGACATACTGAAACAGTAGCACCCATAAATACAGGCTTGACTTTGTTAGAATGCTGCCAGGGATCTCTATGATCCTAGATTAACTACAGACAAACCACTTTCTATGGAATGAATGAAATACAATAGAAAAGAATGTGGAATCATCTTATAAAACTGAATTCCCACGAGAATGGAGCTAGACTGGATCAATGTGCAGAACTGACGTTATCCTTCAACATGGTGATAGTCTATAGCCTTTAATTCAGGCCTCCACTTACTATTTTTCTTCACCTAGGTTATTTTTTTTCTGACTTGCAAGTGACCAGATTAAAATTTGTCACACACTTTTTCTCCCCAAATCCAGTTCTCTAAGATTTTAAAGAATAAACTTTGTTGCAGTTTTTCAAAGTATGTTTAGTTCTTAACTCAAAAATATTAGCTGTTTATGAACGTTCTCAATTTTAACAAGCATGAAGACTATTGTCTAGTAACTTCACAAAACATGTCCGATTATTACTTTTTGATAATATGTCCATTATAATCAATGCAAAAGAATAATAACTTAATAAAAATGCAATATTACAGGGTCTTTCTATTTGCCCGTGGAGTGCCTCAGACACTTATGGCACTATAAAGCATGTACTAAGCATTCTTGAACGGATAGTGTGTTCACAGTAACGGAAGACATTTCCATAAATTACATAATAAATACCGTAATACATAGGTCCTTTTACAAGACATTATAGAGCTTCTCTGCAAAGACAGTGTCTGTCCCCCCAGTTTTACATTTAAACATTGACAATTTTATAGGGAAAAGTTTTATGCTGCTCTTGCATTTACCTCCCAAATTTGCAGTGTATCAAATTGGACCGATCCTACAGGCTTCCTGTTTCCCAGTTGTTTAACCAGATATGAACGAGATATGAAACTGAGACACATTTTTAGCTTTGTCTGGATTCCTGCAAAGAATTAAGGAGCTTGCATAAATGTGACTGTACATACACAGGCATCAATCCCGGACTGTCTGCATGACAGGGGATCTCTTTAGATTATTAGAAAGGACTGCTTTAACTCAACATCATTTTTGTTTCCCAAAATCTATTCTTCAAAAAATTATTGCTTCTGCTGTGGGTAAATTCATTGCTTCTATCTTCATACTTAATTGTGAAGTGCAAATTGTTTGCTTTTACAGAAAGAAAAATTTGAACCAGTGGCAAGAATCAGCCTTTCTGCAGGGGAAGACAAAATTGTGGTAAATGTGTGTGAGAACCACGAGGCTTCCTAGTATTTTTCTGAATATGCAACTCTTCTTTTTCTCTCTGGAATTGGGAAGCCATTAGTTATTTGCATATGCTCTGCCAACGCATGCAACTGCGTTCTGTACAATCCAGCCTAAATCAACAAGCAGTATTTGGTATCAAACATTGCTTGCTCTGTTTTCTCCATCCTCCTCCACACCTCCCCCCCTCCCCAAATATTAACTTATCTAAAATAGAGGTTGTTTATGTTCTTTATTGGGGTTTTCATCCTTCTTTTCTTCCTCCACTGAAATACTATTTTGTGTATTTGATGAAAAAAAAAGTATTCTATTCTGTCAGACAAAACACCCGTGTTAGCCTGCAAATTTGTGTTACTCTCAAATACTGTAAACAGTGACCAGCAGCAAACACCAGAGCCTATTCAAGAACAAAAGATAAAGGCTTCTGAGAATAGTGATCTATTAATAGCATACAAATCCCTGTTATAGCCAGTAGTGATAATACCCTGATACTTCATAGTTAACCGTTACAAGTCCAGCAAATGAAGACATCCTATTCTGCAGGCTGATTTGCATCCCTTTTCTTCAAAAAGCAAGAAACAAATCGTGCATTTTAGGATATTGAGAGGCAAAAGTTTTCCTTTGTTTTTTCAAGTGCTAGGTTTAAATTCTAAACTCATCCAAGTGACCCATTTTGAAATTACAGGTGAGATGTGAAACACTCCAAAGACAGACCAGAGGGAGGTTGCTCTTGTCAGAGCCTGCACCACCCTAAGAGAGTTTTACCACACACACTGCCAGGACAATAGCAATGATGAGCACAGCAGAGAAAATAATCCCAGCTAGAACCTTGCTGATATCACAGAAGGATTTATTTTCCTCCACAGAGATCATGCCAACAGAAGAAGCGCCCACGCTGATGGTGGATTTTAGTTCAGCCCCTGGGTCTTGCTTGGCCTCTACTGTCCACTGGGGAACATTGACCTTCATTTCCATCTCGTACATCATTTCTCCTACCTGATTGATTTCGTTCTCGAGGTCTTTCAAATCCACCACATCTATATTGTGCTCAGCCTCGTATTTCATGTTCTGGACACTCATAGCCCTGGCGGCCACACCAGAGGTTCCCCCACTCATGCCTGTCTGGATCAGGTGCTTTTTGGGGACGTTTAGCGGGAACTCGTGGCCCAGCTCCAAGGCTCTCCTCATGTCGATCTCCAGGATCTCTAGGCACGTGGAGAAAATCACCCATAGCCTCTCGAACTCGGCTTTATCTTCCTTACTCACGGTTTTGTCCTTCAGGACCGTGGTGAGCTTGTTCCTGTTGGCCACTGCCAGCTCCTGGGCTTTCTGCCGGGTTTTCTTGAGCTCCTCCCGCAGGTTCTGGGAGTCCGAGGTGCCGCCGATGGTCAGCACCATGTGCCGGTAGCAGGCGGTCACCTTGTTGAGCGCGTCCAGCAGCGCCTTGCACTCCTCCTTCACCATGACCCCGGCGGCGGCGGAGGCTGCGGCCCCGCCGGTCTGCCCTGCTGCCGCTCCGCCCCGGCTACCCGGTACCGGCACCGGGGAGCTGCCAAAGCCAGATGCTACCAGCGCACATGGCAAGCGGCAGCTCCGGGTCGCTCATGCAGTCGGCACCCTCTTACCCTCCTCGCCGGCTCCTCAGGCGGCGCCGACGCCTCTAGGAGCCCGGGCGGGCTGCGGGGAGCCGCGGGGCAGCAGGCAGCATCGCTCCCCGCCTGCTACTGTCACCGCGCAGGAGAACCGCGGCGGCTCATGCCGCGCCGCGCTGAGTGGCAGCCGGGCGCTGCTTTTGGAAAGTCCTCAACGCCGACGGGAAGGAAGGAGAAAAGAAATGCGCGAAGGATGAAGCTCTCGGGAACGAAAGCCGGGCCGGGCAGCCGGCCGGCCCCCACCGCCGCCACTACTCGCGTTTAACTCGCCCCAGCTGCGCGCCCGCGCAGTCACATGGCCCCGTGCGGGGAGTGCCCGCGGCCTCCCGGGCGCGGGCCGGCCCGGCCTTATAAGCCCCCGCAGGCTCCGCCTCCGCAGGCCCCGACCCCGTGGTGGCCGCCTGTATCCTCGCTCGCTGCCCGCCATTGGCTTCGTGTGGCCCCGCCGCGCCGGGCCCGCCCTGGATTCCGGTAGGGCTTGGCTTGGCTTGAGGCGCGGAGCGGTTGGGGGAGGTAGGGCGGCGGTTCTCCGCGGGCGGGGATTGCAGGGTGACCATGCTGGTGTAAGTAGTGCTCCCGCCTCGGTCGCCCCCGTCCCGCTTTCTCGGCGGGGGGGCCCGGCTTCCCGTGGCGCCGAAGGGAGCGGTGGGGCTGGTGCCGGCGCTGCCCTCCCGCCCAACCGCGGCGGGGGGGGGCAGGGTAGGCGTGCCGGGAGCGGCTCGGCCGCGGCCTGCCTGCCGCGCAGCGGGCGGGGGCTCTGCCGGCCTTCCCCGCGGCCTGCTCCCGGCTGGGGTGGCGGGGCCGCGCTGGCTCCCGTGCTGTCCGGGCCCTGACACCGCGGGCAGGCGGGGCGTCTCGGTGCCCGCGGCCCCGCTGGTACCCGCCTTCCGGCGCGCCGCGATAAAGCGGCAGGAACGCGGTAGCGCCTTGTGGAGGAGCCTCGGTTAACCCCGGCTGCTCGGGGTGTTCCCGGGAGGCCGGCGCTGTCGGCTTCCTACAGGGCTTCGCGGCGCAGCGGGTGTCCCGGAGCGTCGTGGGTGCAGTGCTGGGGGAAAGAGTCCGTATTGTCTTCACTTTGCGCACGGGTGCGTAAAGAAGGCTGGCGGTAAGCGCTGGTGTGCAGTCCAGCGTGTCTGTGCTTAGCTTAAGTCAAGCAACTGTGGCTCAAAGTGCTGGAAACACCCTGCTTCCTCACTAGCAGAAATGCTGCTTCATAGGCTGCCTTTGTGAATGTGCTGAAGTGCAACGTAATGATTGGTGATGGACATGAGGCTGTGTTTCTACATACATCTGAACCTTCCACAAGAACATAATTGATTATGTTGAGTGCTACACAATAAACCACGTTCTCTCTATGACATGGATGCGTTTTTGGCAAAGTGACTTCTGGGGGACATGCTTGTCATAACATATGCTACTACATACACCTCAGTGTTTGGGGGTAACTGAGTAGTTTTCTGATGCAAGATTAACTTTAAAAACATGTGAAGAGATATGTCCAAGAGAAAGGGGAGCATGACCCTCTCCCTCACCTAGCCACACCTGTAGTGCAGTGTGTGCTATGAGCAAGATAATTTGCCATGAGGAGCAGAGTCCAGGCAGACTGGCTTTCTGGTGCTGAGACCAGCCTGAAGAGTCTTGTTTAGCCTATGTTCCTCCTGGATCTTAGTAGCTTGGACTCCACTACTTGTTTTTTCTTGTTCTGCCTTAATTTTGGTCCTAATTCAAAGACATATGTAGCTTCTGCTGCAGGCTGCCACCTGTGGAAGAAACTGCTGTCTAACTTCTGCAGACTGTCAGGTTGCTCCAGAGTAAACTGAGCAGCTCTACCAATTTGTGGCTTGGTAGCTTAGGAGTGAATCAATAATGCCTGTTTCCTTGTTGGAATTAAGAAATGCAGGGTGATTTTGACCTGATTATAAGTGAAGTCTTGTAATTGCTTAATCACTGTCAGGTGGAAAAAGGATTAGCTCTGGGTTTGAATCTAGAGTCCTGTCTGACTTCAGTGTTAAGCTTATGGTTAACTAAATTATGCATGTTTGTGTGTGTCTGGTAGCTATGTTTAAAGTCTGCCACATATCACTAAAGTTACTGTTCATTGTGGCACACCATAATCTTGAAACTGCTTTTCTGGAAGTAGCTGAAAAGGGGGTGGTGGGTAATATTTCAGGAACATGTGACTACTTAAACCTGAAGGTGGCAGCAGTTATAATCTCTTATCAGATAATGCCTAAATACATGTTTAGGTGTGTCATGTGCTAAGGAAGAGGCTGTTACTTAAATTAGTTCTAAATTAAGTTCAGCTGCATGGTATTATCCAATTCAGTTAGATTGTGGAAACTCTTAAAACTCAGTTGCAGTTTGTCAGACAGGCATTATCTGAAAATCCAAATATTGTTACTGCTTTCAAACAAGATGCTGAAATACTATCCTGGGAAAGTTATTAGGATGGAGTCTAAAAATCCTTAGAAGTGAATTAGGAAGCATCATTATGAATTGGAGGAGAAAGGTATTTCCTGGTTCTGTGGAAAGGCTTTCTTGCAATAGATGCTAATGACCATGTTATTCCTATTCCAGTACCTTTAAAAACATTTGCAAAGTATTCTGTGGTGCTTCTTGAGCCTCACTACTTAAATGCTATATGCTCATTTTAATAGACATCCAAGTAGAATTTTAGGTAAATACAAGTCTGTATTAAGTGGTTGGTAAGCTTTGTCTGATGGGCTTGCGCTTGGAGTAAGCTCATAGACTGAATTCAGTCTGTAGGATGCTGTGGCCTGGGAAAGCTTGTAGACACTGTGAGATGAGGAGGGAAAATAAGGATGGGATACAGTGGAAATGCAACATGACATCAACCCCCTCCCACCCCCTGGTAACTGATAACACTATGTAACTTCCTTTAGTAACTGTTCTGTGGCTGAGTTTCTGCTGAGCGTTTTGTTGGTAAAGTGGCTTATCCATAGCAAGAATCTTGATTTTTATCTTGGAAGAATGTTAAGCTCATAGGTCTGTGTTATGGTGTTTACTGTCAGGAAGTCCTTAATTACCTTAGGCTGGTGTATGGAGCATTAGGTAGCATCAAAACACCAGTGGAAGTTAAAATAATTTTATTTTTCTAGTTAGAAAAACTTACCTACTGAATTGTGTTCCAGGCTTCCTTACCCTTGCTCTCCTCCTTAAAGGAGTGACACTATGTAGTCATGTCATTTTACAATTTCTTTCATAACTAGATATTTTAGTAACTGATGGTTTAAGTGTCTTGCAATGATGAGGTAAGACTTAGTGCTGGCCTGCAAGGTCTTGGTTTTCCTACTGAGATGCCCAGATAATGGATTAAATTCCTGTCCAGTTGTCTGGTCTAAGGACAATCTGAACTAAGGTAAATGGGGTACAGGGTTGGTGGCTTCAGTTCCTTTGTATTTCTGTGGGTGGCCTGTGCTGGGTCTGACCTGTACTTGGTTTCTTTACAGACTTGCTGCTAGTCTTGGAGTTGATATCAACCTTATGTGATCTGCTGTGAACAGTGGTGGTCTGTAACACTGTGGTCGAGAAATGGTGTTACCTTCTGTGACCCACATCTCAGCAGTATGGTGCTCAGGCCCACTGCACGCTTAGTACATAGGCTAGGGAATTAAACCACTGTCTTGCTTCAGTAACTAAAGAATCAAAATAATTGGCTTAAGTAAAACACTGTTTATCCTCATATTTCAACTCCTTAGTTTTTCTTCCACACTCCAAAGAAGTACCTGTGCAGACACCTCTGCAAGTCTGAGGATGTTTCCTGAAATACAGCACTAATATTTGGAGGAAGCATCCTTGTGTCAGAAGCTGTGTTGGGAACTTTGTACTTTCTGTTAGTGTTTTTCCTCTAAATGTTCCTTGTAGTTGTGGTTCACTGACCAGCACACTTTGCACTCTGTTCCAGGGCTTGTTCATGAATGGCTCAGAGTTCTTCCTCTGAGAATTTAATGCAGCTTTCATAGTGGTAAGCCAAAGAATAAAAATTCTTTGCGTCTACTCAGGTGGATTTCTAAACCTGCAAGAATTGAGAGTTGGAAATCTAGTCTCTATCCTGCTGTCAAGAGGAGAATGCAGCTTGTTCCTAATACTTGGCTAATGGCAAGAAAGATTATCTCAAAAATCAATGGGAGTGACTGGATAAAATGGGAACCTTGCTGGCTGAAGGATGAGCCACTCATATTAAAACATGCTTTCTCTGGAGGAAAGAAATAGGTGACTGTGGAAAGTCACGCCAGTATGTTCTTTGACATCAAGTCTGACACAAGTAAGAATGTGCCCATATCAAACTACAGTGCAGATACACTGTTAAAATATGAAGTGTGAACCTTCTTATTACTATTTACGAATGAGCCCAGTTTTAGTGTTTGTGAGGTGGAGTTCATAATGAAAAGCTGCATGCGGAACTGATAGAAACTGATTGGCAAGGTACTCCCCCCCCATTGCTGCCAGGTGCTGCAGGGTCTCTGGGTGAGGCCTGTCTTAGAAGGGTGGGAGTGGTGGTAGGAGAGCCAGAGTTGTTAGGCCTAAAATGGGCTTGGGGGCTGTTGGGCACAGGCAAAACCAAAATCATGAGATCCTGTGCTGGCTCTTAACTCTTTACTGGAAGAAATGTATGCTTGAAGGGGAGGTGCCGAGGGAAGGGAGCATCTTCCTGGAATGCTGCTGACCCTTCCTCTGCAGACTCTGTCCATCATTATCAGACTGATGTTCTGGGATTATAATAATTTAATTTTTCCCTGGTTGCCACAAACCTTGAGCTGACTGATGCAAGTTCACCACTCTAGTCTGATAATTCAGAGGGGTTATTCTAACGTTGTTCAATTTCACAGAAATCAATGCAGACTGAAGCTGAATCTAAGAGGAGTAGGAATAGATTGTTTCTTCCTTTGCTTCCTCATGGTGAGCAAGGTGCACTGGAATGTCTCAGGTGTTTATCAGAGATGCTCAGTGTTCATCCCTTTGGGGAGGAAATAAGGTTTCTTGTGTGCTGAGAGACAGAGAAAGGATCTTCTTTTTATTTTGGGGTGAATGCTGATTTGAGGGCTTAAGTCCACATTGTAACCTTTGACAGGAAGTGGGGTAAATGAGGAGTAATAGTTTAGGTAAAACAGTGGTTGAAGTGGTAACTAGATATTTGTTGGGACAGATTAGTTAAATTCCACTTAGGTTGCCGTTTGCTTGCAAAGTGCTTTAAGATACTAGCTTTGGCTGCTTTTGCTAACATGGAGTGCTATTGGGGGGGAGGAGGGTGGCAAAAGGCACTTCTGTAAAAAGAAAAAATTGAAGTAATTTTTAACTGGGGAGCAGTTCATCTTTTTTTTCTGTAGAGCTCTGCAGTTTGCTAGTGTGATAAATATACATACAGACTTTATCAGAAATGTCTGTGTCTTACTCAGAGTGAAACATCTTTTGAGTAGTAAGTTTCTGCTTGTTTTGATTTTCTCATTTTG